ATTATTATTATTATTATTATTATTATTATTATTATTATTATTATTATATTTGTTGTTGTTTCCTAGTATGATTTATAGTACCTATGACTACTTCTAAGTGTTATACCTATGATTCTTGACGTATTATCTTGAGAGCAATTGCACCAAAACAAATTCCTTGTATATCCAATCACACTTGGCCAATAAAGTATTCTATTCAGAGGTGGTATTCAGCAGGTTCTGACCACTTCTGGAGAACCGGTAGTGGAAATTTTGAGTAGTTTGGAGAACCGGCAAATCCCACCTCTGACTGGATATTTTACAGTATCCTTCTCCTGCCACGCCTACCAAGCCATGCCCACAGAACCGGTAGTAAAAAAATTGGAATCCCACTACTGATTCTATTCTATTCTATTCTGTTCTGTTCTGTTCTGTTCTGTTCTAAAAATAATACAGAGAGTATTTGAGTTATAACTATTCATTCAGCAACCATCTGAAATTACAACACTGAAAAGAGTGGCTTATAATGGTCCTCACGCTTCTGACTGTAGCAACAACCTCATAGTGATGTGGTCAAATTCAGGTGCTTGGCAAGTGGCATATATTAATGACAGTTGCGTTGTTCTGGAGTTTTGTGATCACCATTTGTGACCTACCCAAGTGGCTTCAGCAAGCAAAGTCAAGGAGGGAAATCAGATTTGCTTAACAACTATATATTCACTTAAGAACTGCAATGATTCACTTTATAACTGTGACATAAAAGTCAAAAAATTGAGTAAAATTCATTTTAACAATTGGTTCGGTCTCAATTGTGGTCATAAGTCATCTATCAAGGACTACCTATAACCATGCATGAAAATAAAGACTGATTTATAGTATATTTGTATACTATTATATCAGTCACTTTTCTCTGAATTCAACCTACATTTGTATTCTGGTATCACATACAGTATAGTACACTCAGAAATTGTAATTTGAAGAGATAAAACTTAACATTAATTTCTAGAAGGAACTAAGCATTACAATTAAAGGAGATGAACATTCAAATTTGACCTTCCATTACAGGAGAAAGCAAAACATTTTAACTTTGGACACATTTAATAATATTTTTGAAGCATGAATTCAGAAGTTAATAAGAGTGCCTTCCTCTATAGATAAGACTATAAACCTTATAAGGTTTATACTAATTCAGTTATTTCAACCACGTATCTCAATGTATTCCAATTATCTAAGTGAAGCATTCAGTTTTATGTATTAAAATTTTCTTTTTGGATTATGATTTGAACAAAACCTATTCAATACTTATGTTTTGTTCAAATCATAATGCAAAAAAATGTAATCTATTTTCCATTGTAAAGAAGTCCAAAGCATATTGAATGTATCCCCAAAAGCTAACCTTCTAGCACCTTCTTTATACATTCATCCAGATTCCAAACTATCACATAATCTTGTGAAGCAGAGCAAATAAGGAGAGGATCAACTTTGGTCCCAAATGCCAGTGCAGTAATCGTGTGATGATGACCTATTAAACGCAATGGCTGAACAACAACATCATTTTGGTTATTTTAAGGCGGATGCAGTGCACAAAATCAAAAAGTGTAAATTTCTTTTGAAATGTTCTTCATAGATCTTAAGGTAAAATATACAGTATAGATAAAATCATATTAGATACAGCAGTTTGCTTTATTGTTCCACACTCACATTAGTTTTTTAAGACTGCCCTGAAAAAGTAGGGATTCTTCACAGCAGATTGGGGATCATGTGGTAGGCAAGCATATCTGACCACTACTGAATTCAACTCTCAATTAAAAGACAACTATAGGTAGTCCTCGACTTACGACCATCATTGAGCCCAAAATTTCCATTGCTATGCAAGATGGCTGTTAAGTGAGCTTTGCCCCATTTTATAACCTTTGTCACAGTTGTCAAGTGAATCACTGTATTTGTTAAATTAGTAACACACTTGTTAAGTGAATCTGGCTTCCCCATTGACTTTTCTTGTCAGAAGGTCACAAAAAGGTGATCACATGACCCTGGGACATTACAACCCTCATAAATAATGCCACTTGGCCCAATATCTTAATTTTGACCACGCGACCATGGGGATGCGGCAATGTATGTGTGAAAAACAGTATAAGTCACTTTTTTCAGTGCCATTATAACTTTGAAAGGTCACTAAAGTTGTAAGTTGAGGACTACCTGTACACTAACCTAAGCCTTCCCTAGCAAACATCAGTCTAGAATAAGCTTTAAGCAGGCAAAGTTCCAAAATAAGAGGAAAAAAAATAAGGAAATATTTTCTCTGTAACATTCTGTATGTGTGTGGGGGGGAGGGGGAGGGAATTGTAAAAAATAAAAATGGGAGGAAATGGAAATATGGGCAGGTTCACAAGTAATAGATAATGATGGCTGAACCCCTGTAAAGTTCTGTGAATGTGGCAGGGCAGTCATAGGATGAAAACTTCATCTGGAATTGCACTAAGTAATCTAACATTAGGCAAACACAAAACTATGTTGCATTTTTGCCATAATAAGTAGATGATAGTATCCCTTTAAATATGAAAAGTGTACTTTACGTCATCACTGGTATCATATTTGCTGTTCCTGGACATGTGCTTTTAACCACTTCTATATTCATTTCAAAAGGATTAGCACAAGTGGTGCTTGCGGACTGTTTTCCCTAAAATGTTACTTTCAGCACTAATGCCCACAAAGAAATTGGTATTTAACCTGATGGTTAGGCTCATCACTCATATTCCAAATACAAAGTTCATTTCCATTTAAGGGAAAAGCACAGTAATGGAGGCTACAAGCCAGCTGAACATGTGATTCTGGCACTTTCGATCTAAATACTTGTTTTTCAAGAACAATGCTGCTGCTGCTATATCCATCTTCAATGGAGCAGAGGTCCATGAGGTTTTCCATAGTATACCTGAGACATAACAAATTGAATATAATTACATCACTCAATATATTTAGAGGTACTTTGTATTTACATATTGTTCAAAATATTGTGTACAATACTTTAACCTTAGTAAAAGTAGTCAAGGGTCTAGTTTAGTCTCCCAAACTTATAAAAAATGAATAATCATAATTTAAATCATTTTAAGATAAAGTGAATGATACAATCTATTTAAAATATGAATTTATATTAATGTTACAGTAAAATGTGCAATTTCATTGGATAAGTATGAGGGACTGCAGACAGAGGCAGGAGTTAGAATTTCTGAACTCTAAATAACAACAATTCTATTAAATACAATGATAGGGATTGTTGTGAAACAACCCTTGCTGCTTTAAAATAAAGTTTTAAAAGTCATTATAAAAGTACAAATCATATTATATATGGAAACCTAGACTTATAATAATCCTTTAAATACCATTTGAACATTTCAGATATTATCAGTTGTGATGTGGAAAACAAATATATATTACTGGTTTTAATTTGTTCCTGGTCAGAAAGAGGATATTAGAAAACATAACAAAAAAATGCTGCAGCAACGAGCTGGCATTCATGCAGATCTTTTTAAACAAGGCAAGGAGGTATCTCACCAGGCTCAATGTTGCCTTGCAACTACAATTCTAATGGTCCTGGCAGGATCACGTTTTCTTGAAGTACCATGAAGTAAGCTTATTTAAGGCTTGCTACCTTGAATCCAGCCAGATTGGTTTATATATAATGCTTCCAGATCTTGCAAATGTCTAGTCAACCGCAAAACAACAAAGAGCTCCCTTATATCATTATATCCCTTATATATCCCTTATATATCATTGCTGCTAATCCAATAGTTCTCTGGATTTTGATAGGTCAGATCAGGTACCTCTAAAATACATTTATTTGTTGTTTTAGTTTTGCAAGCTGCTTCAGCTCGGATAGTTCTGCTTTGCTATCGTGGAGAAACCAAACCAGTTGGATTGCACACTGGCTTTTCTGTGAGAAAGAGGTCCACGAGAGAAAGAATCCTGGGGAAGAACTGAACTTCGTCCAGACTTTCTCCCGCGAGGATTCCACGATTAACAGTGGGGCGTGAAATATCCACGACCATGGGGGACTGGGATGAAACGGAATCACGATCGAGTACAATACAGATCCCAGCCGCGAGGCAGCCCGGTCGCCAAATATGCAGCGCGCCGCACTTTTTTCAGTGTGGCGGCAAATCAACCCGCGAAGACGTCAATCCCAAAGCAGCCTCTTGCTCGGGGGAATAAAAAAAAATCCTCGTTATTATCTTTACCGCGCGTGGCTGCCACGAGTGTTGCTCGCAGGCTCCTGTGTGCGAGATTAGGAGGTGAATGTAAATCTTTCCCAGCTGGAAGGTGACGGCCGCCTGGTTTCCTAGGCAGCAACGATGCTTACGGCAAAACCTCGGAGCCAATTCTAGACGTTGCTTTTCGTCTTCGTGTGAGTTTCGTTCAAGCAGTTCCGAAGAGCCGGGAAGGATTGCGCTGTTCTGTATGGGATGGAGATCCTTTTCTCCTTCCTTTTCCAACCGGTCTTTAGGGGTAATATGCCAAGCTCAAAACCGATATGTGGGCGATTTATCTATCTCATTTTCCTGGAGAGAATTGTATTTTTGAAAGTTTGCCTGCAAGTTCAGAATTGATAAATTGCCACCTGTTTAGATTATGAATGATTTCAGAAAAATAACTGTCTTCTTAAAGAACAAATAATCAAGAACAAAATGATTGTTGCTAAACATACACTCTTCAAGAGGGCTACTGTACTATGTTTACATAACAAAAAATTACAGTAGATTAAAACACCTATATTTTCCTCTATGAGTGCCATAACATACTTAAGAAAACTGTTTAAAAAATGATGACACAAACAATTATGCAACTTAAATTTTTACTAATCTTAAAGGCATATTGTCTCAATCAAAATGACCATTCATTTCTGCCTTAATGGCTAATTAGTGCCCAGTTTTGTACAGGCTGCTATTTAGTGATCCTGACCTCTGTATACCATACAGCTAGGTTACAATCTAAGCTGATTTTCTGTACTGTTACATATGCAAAACTTCATATTCATATAGATACAAGGACACACACAACATACACACACCACATACACAAATGTATTTATGGTATACACATAGATATGAACTTCAGACTTATTTAAACTTATTTTATATATCCCATTGCTATAGTTGATTATGATTGTATTGTCCTAACACATTTCAAAATATATTTTTTTCAAAATCTTGAATATGTATGTTTTTGGGAACAAAAATGGCCGAATGAAGTATTTTTATGAAAGTTTATAGTAATTTAAACACACACACACACACACACACATTCTGGCATATTTTTTTGTAGGCCACTTCTTACATGTCCATGAGTTGTCACTTCATATGCAGCCTTTTTTAGTTGTATGCTGATATCAGACCAAGTACTTAAAGAGCTTGCATTGTGACATCACAACACACTTTTTTATATGTCTATCATCTCCTTCATTATCTCCAGCTTACTTTGTGAACTCCATTGGCTAAGGCAGCATTTTGTGTATATGGCCAGACAGCAATAATAAAGGAAAACTACTCAATTAACATGTAGGTTTCTGGCCCTTTAGAAATTAGGGAAGAAATTGATCATGTTTATTGCTAGTAGGAAATCAATCATACTTGCAGCATGACTTACAAATCAGTTCAACTATACATGTCATTGTTGGTTTTATATTTTATACTTTTGTTAGGAAGCTGCGTCGGCTCTCCTTATCTTGCCATTAAAAATATCTCATTTTTATGAATTACTTTCATGCTTTGAGTAAAGTCAGAGAACGAGGGGCAATGGATGTATTTCAAACTTTTCTAATAATAACAATCACGACAAGAAGCAACCAATGATTGCTGGCAATATTCCACCAGCGCTACCCGAAAATGTTCCTCTCAGCCAATGGTTGACCGCTCTTCAGCCTCGGCTCACGACCTGCTTTCTGTTGCCACGGTGCTAGAACGAGACCATTTCTCCGGATAATCCCTCCCCGGTCATCGCTCCGCCTTCTTCTTCTTCTTTTTTGCTTCGCAGAACAAAAATCCGTAGAGCAAGCTCGAGTCGAAATCTCGCGAAGCTAAAGAAATCTCGTAGTGAGATAGATTGCCATTCTGTCAAAAGATTCTGGCGGCCTCCTCGATGGTGACTGAGAGAGCGAGCGAAGTGGCTCCGCGATAGGGTGAGTTTGTTGGGGTGGGGGGAGAGGACAAACCGGGCCCGGGGCAAGCCGCGGGGGGGGGGGGGGGGGGGGGGGGGGGGGGGGGGGGGAGCGGCGCGAGCCCGGGCGCGGGGCGGGGGGGAGTGGCCAGTCTCTTGCCTGGCGGGTCGATGGGGCGCTGCTGAAGAGTTAAAGGACTTCGGCGGCGGTAAACGACAGATCCCATTTACTTTGTGTGCGCGCGCGGGACTCTCCCCTCCCCCCCCCCCCCCCCGCCCGGCAGACTCTTGTCGAAGCCCTGAAGAAGCGGGAGAATTGAGGGGAAAGCGGGTGGCTCCCGAAAAGGCGGAGGTTTCCTTCCGGACTGGGTTTCTAAGTTTCTTTACACACTGTCCGGTGGGCCATCTGACATCCCCTCAGACCGCGCTCACCCTCCTCTCTGCCTCTCTCTTTCCTGTTGTCAGGATTGCAAATCTCTCGCGAGGGTAGATTCAATTTGGTATAAATAGACGAGCAACCACCAGGCACCGAGGTCTGATTCTGCAGGGGAGAGTTTATAGCCCTGGTAACTTCCTACGCTGAGGCTAAATTCGGTTTAAAATATAGAATAACGGAGTTGGAGGTCTTCTAGTCCAACCCCCCACCCCCCACCCCCTACAGGCAGGAAACCATATGCCATTTCAGACAAATGGTTGTCTAAACTCTTCTTAAAAACTTCCAGTGTTGGAACATTTACAACTTCTGGAGGCAAGTTGTTCCACTGGCTAATTGTTCTGTCAGGAAATTTCTCCTTAGTATCTGGATTGCTTCTCTCCTTGATCAGTTTCCACCCATTGCTTCTTGTCCTGCCCTCAGGTGCTTTGGAGAATAGCATGACTCCCTCTTCTCTGTGGCAGCCTCTGAGATATTGGAACACTGCTGTCATGTCTCGTCCTTCTTTTCATCAAACTAGACAGATCCAGCAACGGTTCTTTGCTTTAGCCTCCAGTCCCCTAATCATCTTTATTGCTCTTCTTTGCACTCTTTCTAGTCTCAACGTCTTTACATCATGGCGACCAACACTGGATGCAGTATTCCAAGTGTGACCTTACCAAGGCATTATAAAGTGGCATTAATATTTCACGTGATTTTGATTCTGTCCCCGTTTATGCAGCTTAGAACTGTGTTGGCTTTTTTGGCAGCTGCAGCACACTGCTGGCTCATATTTAAGTGATTGCCCACTAGGATTTAACTTAACAGAGGAAGCCTCCTGTTATTTGTGGTACCTGGTGCCCTGTGCTTGGGACTGCTTTCTATGGTTTCATTTTCATGTGTCTCTTCTATTTTCCCGCTCCCCACAAAAAGCCCTGCTTAGCAAATTATTGTTATGAGGAATTAATGTTACCTTTTAGGTTGTAGTTGCCTGCTTCTGACTGATGAAAAGCAGTGTGTATTCCTCTCTTGTCCTGTGATTTCAGGACACTGAGGGAGAATTGCTGCTCCAGGGTATTGTAAGAGTCTGGGACTCTTTCTGCCTTCAGAATCTATAGATTAAGATAGGTTAAGATATGCAGTCACTGTGGTGTTTCTATGAAAACATGCTGCCTCTGTGTATGTTTAAGATCCAATCTATGTTTAGTGTGTTTATAAAATTATATTTGATGCATGACTGGAAATATATGGAATAGTCCTAATTTTCATATATTCCTATAGCGGTATAGAACCACTGTATAATTATTTAAAGAAAAAAACACATGTTCTACAGAAAAGCAAATGTATATGCTCTTGTTGAAATTTAAATAACAGATGCTTATTTCTGAGACCATTTTCATGCAAAATAGCCTATTCCTATGATGTTTACCAAGGTCACATTTACTACTAAAATATTAATGACAACGTGCTTTCTATCCGTGGCATCAACTTGGTCCTGACATCCCAGTGGTATCAACTTGTTCAGAAGAGTATCGAAGTGATTTCCCAGAATAACCTTTCTATATTTATTCAATATTAATAGTTTGTTTAAACTATAATTTTTGTTGCTTTTTTATAAGAGTGATAGAACATGGTATTTGGAGGTTACTTCAGTCACAGAACAGGTTTATTTTATATCCAACACAGGTGTGATGGCCCCTTACTACAAGAGGATACTAGTAATACTGTTTACTTTTCAAGGACTTCTTATAACAAGTGCTTTTAATGAGGATGGGGATGTACCTGAAGAATGGATTCTCCTGCATGTAGTTCAAGGTCAGATTGGTGCTGGAAATTACAGCTACTTGAGACTAAATCATGAAGGGAAAATAGTGCTTCAGATGCAGACTTTAAAAGGTGATGCAGACTTGTACGTATCTGATGTAACTCTTCACCCCAGTTTTGATGATTATGAATTACAGTCTGTAACTTGTGGTCAAGATGTGGTTTATGTGCCAGCACATTTTCGTCGCCCAGTGGGAATTGGAATTTATGGTCATCCCTCTCATTTGGAAAGTGAATTTGAAATGAAAGTGTACTATGATCAAACAGTTGTAGAATCTCCATTTAGTGGTGGCTCATACAATCCAGAAGAAATGAAAATGAACCAGAAGAAGTTTCATTCAACAGAAGATGAGTATCAAGATGAGGAATCCGTCTTCTGGACTATATTGATTGGAATACTAAAATTAATACTTGAAATTCTCTTTTAGATTTATAGCTTTGGGTGTGAGCAATCTGTATAAATAATTGAATAATTGCTGTTCTAAGCTGTGGATCGGAAAATAAAGCCATAATTATTTTTATAATGTAAACTTTTCCCAGTGCTATATTGTAGCAGGCACAGTATTTGTATGGTTTTCTCTAAACTGATCAGGGTGAATATTAACGGATGCTACAATTCACTGTGATTTTCAATAAAACTTCAAAATTGTAGAAATATGAATTCATGCTCAGTAATTCATCACATTTGTTAATATATTTACAAATAATATTTTATATATATAAAGATAGATGTAAGACTATCTTCTTTGGCCAAAATAGAAATACATGTGAAAGATTTGAAGAATGGAAAAGACTTCATCTGCTTTTCCAACCACCACTAAAATCTATTTTAAATTGAAGCAACCTGAATACAGAATTACTTATAGGCAAGTATGAAGATTTCAAACATGAAATGTTGATGTTAGAATTTTTAGCCCACTAATTCCAAATAATTTTCCACAGTGCAAGTCCACCTATATCTACTTAAAAACCATGTAATTATAGATTCATAGTTATCACCTACTAGGAAGTACCACCGTACTGGCAGCTTCAGGGAACAATACCTGAGCTTCCTTGTTCCAGAATTCCTCCAAGGTCTATGAGATCACTGGAAAGGTAGAAGCTGAAATGTTTTGAAAATGAATACAGTATGTTCTGAATAAATGCCTCGAAGAAGAAAAATACTAGGAAAAAACTCTAATATTGCACCACCAGGAAAGGAATAAGAAAAAAAAGGACTGAGTTGAAATTTTTGCCATATTTGCATTAATTTCAAGAAGCTGTTCAGAAAACTATGCATTGCATTACACTAGAAACTAAATCATTTATCACTGTATGGAACACTAGTATGTTTCCAAAATTGACTTGCTCTCTTAACACCTTGGCATGCATTCGTACTCATTTTCTGGTCTTAGCATACAGAAGAAATGAAAGATTAGAAGAGTATCAATAATAAGAAATTAGTAGAATGACAACAACCATGTTTTTGTTCTAAACTGCATGACAGCTATCAGCTCAAATGGCCAGAGACTCCTTGTAGAAGGAAAGAAATGAGAATTATTGAATTCACTTGATTTAAATTAAGCTTGGTTCCTATAAAACACTTTAATTCCACAATAACAGCATCATATTCAAACAAATAAGATGTTAATTGATATGCAAGAAACCTGTATACTTAGTGAATTGTTTTGTGATTTAGAGATAATTGTTACTCTACTAATACCCTTGAATTTAATAATATTTTCCTTTGAATAGGATGGAGGACAAAAGTAATTATTCTGCAATTGTTTTTTATAAAAATTATTATGCAGAAAAGAATCTATAAGACAAATTATAAAAATACAGAATAGAGATATGTTCACCTCTGTCTTTAATGGAACAAAAGATACTGAATAACCTTTCTCAACATGTTAAAATTAAAAAGAGTTTTATTTGGTGAAACTGTTTTTGAGTGGTGTTTTTCCTTGTACAGTGGTAAACAGAATAGCACCAAGTTTAGCACTAGTTTTTGTGAAGTTAATATGCAGTTATCCTTCTTTGCTGCTCTTCCCTCTTCTTCCTCTGCCCCTGGGAATTGGGGGTTGTCTTTCACAACAGTCACAAATCCAGCGACCTACAAAATTAGAGCTGTCAATTAAAAGAAGACCAATTGCCAAGTAGTCTAAAAAGGCTACTGCAGCTGTATGTGGGAAGTGGGGATATTAATGAGTATGTAGCATATGTTTGTTATAAAATTACATTTGTAACTCTAGGTTTTTATGCCCCTTCTATTAAAGATACTACACTAAACTGACCCCATAATCATATTCCAGTAATGAATGTACTCAGATTTAAGATATTACATTCATATTCACTCCCTTAAATAAATTTTAAGATGCTGTAGTATAAACTAATAAAATATTTAGCTACACTCAATGTCAGTAGAATGGATAGTTAACACAAGATTCACTTCACATAATAGATGTACAATCTTTTCAAAAGAAAAAAAGCAACAATCCAAATCTTGAATTTTAGTTCAGCCTCTGAACAAGTATAATTGATATAATTTACCTGAAGGGATAGCACCAAGCCCCACACAAAATGTATGATAGCCACGATCACACACATCACAGAACATCATTTCTTCCTCATGGTGAGGCTGCCCGCATATAATGCATGTTTTACACTCCATACATTGCCAAGGATAGGTCTTAATTATTGCAACAAGCTCTGCAGACATATCCAAACAGGAAGGATGTCCTAGATCAAAACCAGTATCATTACTAGAATAGTTATATGAAGGATCCTGACAAGACTAAAATGATTTTATTTTATAGAATTTACTTTAAATCAGTGTATCAAATGTGCTTATTAAACTTTAGTAACTGCAAAAGTTGTAGTTTGTTATTTTTGTTTCAATTTAAATATATAGACATGTTTAAAGCAGATTTGTTACTTACCATTGTTTTCACATTGGGAGCAGTGAATAAGTGCTTCAGACTTCCCTTTCTTGTTGGACTCCTTACCCTTCAGACAAATTCCACATATAGCATTTGGAATGACCTTTGGCTGGAAGGGTAGAAGAGGGCTATAAATTCATTCCAGAAGAATTGATACAGGTTTTTTTTTCCAAAAAAATGTGTGTTATTTAAATTTCTATAAATTAACAAACCTTCTGGGTGGTGTAGAACACAGGATATGATTAAAAATTGATAGGTATTGATTACATGAAAAACACTGGAATAGAGACTATTTTAAACACATGCAAAGTGAAATAATATAATGTATAATAAATCACAACTAATGAAATCAATGAATTTTTAAAAGGATAATTGAATTTTTAATCTTATGTAAGATGAATATGTATGAAATTGCTAACACATAATTCTTCAAATGTTGATTCAAGCTAATCCTATTAACTCTCCATGCAGTATAGTACTGAAATTATATATTGAAAATTCTAAGTATATTTTTGTCTTAATGCACAGGCAGATTAAAACCTGTTTATTTCATCAGAAAACAAAATAAAATTTTATATAGATGTAAGCAAACAAGCTGAAATTGATACTTTGTGAGGATAAGGACCAACAACTATCAATTGCAAGCAATTTTTACATCTGCACAGAAAACAAATTTTATACATGTACATTTGTTCCATGGATTGCATCATTATATTCTGTCTTCCTAAACTGAACCTATATCTTCAATTTGTACAAACAATACAAATTTTTTACTCTGTGACTGACAAAATGTGAAAATTATAAGGAGTGTCTCTTTGTAATAACATTATTAGAATTTCAAGTATCTTCCCTAATCATAATCTTATACCATTCATGTCAACAAGCACTTTTTTTGCATGTAAGGTCAACTACTATCATTTGAAAATGTATCAAGTCATTTCAATTCCAAAAACCCCTCCCACCACTACCTGCTCCACATCTTTGGGGAATCCTAAAGTGTAGATTTGAGATTAATATTGGAGGGAGAAAAATATAAGTTCCTCTGATCAAGTAACATTGGATAATCAAAAGTACTACAGATATTTAATATATCATTTTTATGTGGCTTGTAATGAAAGCGTTTATGTAAGTTACCTTTCAATAAATTGCTTCTTAACCTTAAATATGTAGCTCTCAATTTGTCTGAATTGTTACAGTAATAATTGCCAAAAATTATCAAACAGATTGGTGAAATTATTTGAATAATGTTTCTTTCAAATTTTGATACATTTCCATATAAAACTTTAATATATAACAGAAAACAATGCACATTTAATATGTATAACATTTGAACTATGTAACTGGAACCCCACGTATGCTATCCTGATTATTATTTTCCCCTTTAAATATCTGAATTTGTAAAAAGACACAAATTATTAAACTCTATAATGCTATAAACAAAACTAAAACAGGTGCAGTAATTTATATATTTTAATAAGATAAATTTTAATCTTATTCTTTGGATATAGTTTGCACGTTTTTATTTTCCCTGCATTTATGTTCAAAGACAACAGGTCCTGCCAGGGCACCAATATTTAAGTTTGACATTGATAAATCAGAACATGAAGGAAATGATTCTGGTGAGGAGATTCTAGACCAGAGGTAGATTTTTTTTTAAGCTGAGTTGGGTCTTAAATAAGCATCTATTGTTCATGCTATAACAGTACATTTCCTGCAGGAAAAGATACTAAATGAATCCAACACAACCTTCTAACTCTGATACCAATTTCTTCTCATATTACATTAGCAACATGGAAACATGGGTAGATGGTTGCTTACTTTATCTAAATAGCTACAAATTACAACGTAATAATTGTAACAACAGTTTGCTCTTAATAGAAAAATGGTGTCTCAAAGTAAGAATGAAAACATTTTTGCTTAAAGAATGAAAAGTGTGTGCAGGCATCACTCTGCTATACACATCTTTTATCAGGAATATTTTAATAATGCTGAAAAAAGAGTAGATTTGAATTATTAAGATTAAAAATAAATTTAGTTCTAGAAAATTGCAATTATTAACTAAATAAATATAAAATTTGAAGGAGTTAATATGTATTTATTATGTATTGGCCTAATTTCAGAAATTATTTATGTAGTATGTTCGGCCTCCACAGTTTTGTTTAAACACCCACAAGGTTCTCTTTTAAAAGATGACAGAGGCATTCAATATTTTTGCTTATTTATTTTTTTTAAAAAAATCATAGTCCACCTGTTTTATACATAAATATAATGAAATGATAAAGGAGTCTAACATTCACAAATATCTCTACAAAATAATAAATAACCATGGTGGAAACAGACATATATTTTTATTTTGCTATTCTAATCCTACTTGCATACCTTTTTATACCCTGCTCCTCCCAAAGAATAAACCCAATTCTGCAGCATTCGCCTTTTGTACTGCTACATTCTATAAAGTTCATTGTGTTTTAAGCTATATCAAGATAATAATTAGAAAATACACTAGCTATTTCTTTTATTGTATGCATACCTACTGCTACAGTATGTAGCAGCAAGCTGCGTCTCAATCACCCAATGCAAAACTATCTTTCTGTTGCTATACCTGTACTGAATTAAGTGCAGTTAATATTTCTGTGCAGTCTAGGTACTGCACCAGCAAAGAGGCATTTAATAATAATGCTTTCCCCAAATCTCAATTCTATAAATCTAGGAATAATATAGTCACAACATACTAATTTTAAAACATCCAGAAATGGATATCTCTCTTATAGAAATGAAGAAAAAGCAAAGTCTATTTATATTTAGGAACGATTCTAAAAAGAAATTAAAATGACATTGGGGGATTACTGGAAAACATTGCCTGCCTGATTTAGTGATTTTCTGGACATCCTCAAGTTAACAAGCAAAAGAATAGTAAGATTTTCAATTCTACTGCTTCAAAAATTCATTTTAGACTAAATCTGCAATTCTGTATACTGGCCAAAATCATATTCACCTGTCAGTTCTAAATGAACCAAGGGCAATGAGTCTTGGTTTCAGTGACTTTGGGACTTGTTGAGCCAGGTTTTTTGTTTTCGTGAAACTGACTGAGTAAACCAAAGCTGGAGAAGCAAAGAGTAGACAAAGAGAGAAAGCTACCCTGAAGCAAGAGAGTAGCCAGTAGGAGTCAGTAGGAGAACATGTTGCACCTTCATACTTCAATAAAGCTTTGTGCTTTGTGTATTGGATATGAAATGATATGTCTGAACCACCCAATGGAATTCGTAGCTTATCCTCCAATACATAAATAAGCATGCTGTATTTCTAGAAATTATACTGCGTGGAAACAAGCCTTTCTTCTTTTCTAAGCAAATTAATGTAAATCAGAGTGTTACGGAATATGAAGAAAGAATGGGATAATCAGTTAACAGATTTGTACTTCAAACTTCTGTTTTCTACTGAAATACGCAGACATGGATCTCTCCCTTACTCTGAGAATACTGCCATGACAATTATAATCATCAGTTCTTCATCTTTTAAAACAATAGCTATTGAGAAAGGATAATAGGAATGATGCCCCCATTAAAAAAGACAGATGGTTTAACAAATTAATAAAAAGCAATCTGCCTGCTTAGAAAAAAGGTAAATATAAGAAACCCATTTGTAATACTTGCAATATATGTATTAACATTTTGCTTATCTTTCCTAAAAGCTCTTACAGTTAAATTTAAGTTTTAAAATGCAAATAGAGAAATAATCTAATATATGGGGTGAATACTATGCAATAAAATCATGGTAACTATTAATGGTTTCTGGGAATAATTAAATCCTATTTGTAGATTTAT